TCGAAATTTGCGTCGCAATGGCAGGCAGCCATGGACGAAGAGCTGGATTCGCTACGCAGACATGGTGTGTGGACTGTTGTGGAGCGATCGAAGTCGAGAGTTACCCTGGTTATCACGAACCGATGGGTGTACACTGTGAAGAAGGACGAGCAAGGATTTGTGAAGAGATTCAAGGCTCGGCTTGTCATTCAAGAATTCAAGCAAAAATTTGGTATCAACTACAATGAGACTTTTGCTCCGGTAATTCGTTTTGACACGATTCGAGTGGCAATTTATTTTGCAGTTCAACGGCGGTGGGCTGTTCTCCAATACGATGTTAAAACAGCCTTTCTTCACGGGAAATTAGCAGAGCTAGTCGTCATGGAATGACCTCAAGGCCGTGGATCGCCTGGAATTAGCGGATTTGTCAGCTGATCAAGTCGCTATACGGCTTGAAACAAGCCCCACATGTCTGGAATAAGACACTGCATCGACATCTCGTTGCTCTTGAATTTATTCGCTTGGAAAGCGACCATGGACTTTATTCCCTCGTCGAGAAGGGGGAGGTAGTCATGCTCCTGACAGTTTACGTTGACGACTTGCTGCTCATGAAAGAACAAGCTCGGTGCGACGACATTGCCCGAAAATTAGCAACCAACTTTGAATTAGTGAAGCTTGGACCAGTCAAGTACCTATTGGGGATAGAAGTGACCATCAATCGTGCAAGTGGCAGTGTATTCTTCAGTCAACTCAACTACATAGACGAGGTGCTACGCAGATTTCATATGCACGACTGTCGTGGCGTCGCTACACCTGAAGCAACAGCAGTGGACACTAACACCGAAATCCGTCTACTGGCATTAGTAATTTGCCGTATAGAGAAGCTGTTGGAGCATTTCAGTATCTCATCTCGGGATCTCGGCCGGATATTGCCCACGTCGTCCGTCGTCTCGGACAGTACATGTCATGCTTCAATGCGGTTCACTATGCCCAAGTCAAGCGTGTACTGCGATACTTGCAAGCTACTAAGGACTTTGGACTCTGTATGGTCGTATCGAGCTCGACTAAGGTCGATTAGCAGCGTATCGAAGCCTACAGCGATGCAGACTACTCCAATGACAAGATGGACCGTCAGTCAGTCAGCGGGTACGTTACTATGCTGAATGGCAGTGCTATTTCGGATGGATCAAGAAAGCAGGGACTAAATGCTCAAAGTACCATGGAAGCCGAATATATTGCGATGAACGAAGGCGCGAGAGACATTATGTGGCTGCGTGGTCTCTGTGATGAACACGTGTGGAATCACGACCTGCCAACACTTTGGTGTGACAACACTGCAGCTGTTTCTCTGTCGAAGAAGCCTGGGAAGCATAACGGTAGCAAACACATCGAAAACCGGTTCCACTACGTTCGAAATCTCGAAGGTAGAAAACTACTAGCGGTGCAGCATTGCGGAACTAATGACATGACAGCAGACATCTTAACCACACCGCTGGCCAGAGTCAAGTTTGATTTTTTCCAAAATTTACTAGGTATGATTCGTGGTGCTGAGCCAGGAAACGCGAAGGTCACTTCGAGCCAGGACGATGGGGTTTCTACGGTCTGAATGATGATTAATTTCAGTCAGACTCAAGCTGATCGGTGCTAGGCTAGCACTGCTAGCACACAAGAGAAGATGGTATTTCCAGGGAGGTTCTCAACGATGTTTCATTGATGAACTAACAAATTGTACCGATGTTCGTGTACGGGATGGTGACGCGATGGTCGCGTGGCATTGCAGTGTGAAGTTCGTACTCAATGGGTTAGAAGCAACGAAGTTCGTTAGCTGGGCTCATTTCTGTAAAGTTACGAGTCGTACTTGCAGTTTGAGACAGGCTACGTGAGCAAGGGGGAGTGTTGGACATCAACTCTGACTCAGAGTGAATCTTATGCTCACGTCAGCTGCGAAAGTTTCCAGTAGATAAGATGTTGAAGTAGCGCGCCAATTTTATATAATATATTTAGGATCAATGCGTTGACGGCAAGGAGAGACTTTATTACTTGTGGATTCTCATTCTCCTTGCCAAGTACTGCAACCAAGATCCCGGAGCTGAGGCCCCGCTAGACAGCGTTCAACTTCCTTCTATATCTGCTTGCGAATGAGCAAACGTCTTTACCCGCCGCGTAGCGGCGGCACTCGGCTAGTTCTGGTACAACAGTAGCGTCGATCGGATAACGATGATTTCTGCTATCAGCAGAAGCGGTTTTCCGTCCATCAACAAAAACCAATCAATATTAGCTGTCTTACAAAAGGATTGGAATTTAATGAAAAATTTGGTAAGGTGATTTTTTGGTCTGATATAAATATTTTGTGGGTCTCACCAAGAATTTTGATCTAGCTCTATTTCCTGTCTTTACGTCGCCTTTATTCTTGTAGGTACGTCACTGTCTCAGGTCAAGCCGATTGAGGCCGATGCTAGTGCCTGACTTTCAGTATGATGTGCTTCTTGGCCTGCTGCAGCGTACGCTCTATATCAAACGATTCTGTGGGTCGAAATCACGCAAGCATAGATAAATACCTTTTACCAATATTTTTAGTCATTTTTTCATTTTGGGAATAAAAATGACCAATCGCATTTTAGTATCGAGGTTATATTGTCAATTCCGGCTTTATTAAGAGTACACAATCAGTCGCCAACTCAATCAACAAGCGTTGGACATTGGTCTACATAGAACTTGTACCCTTTTGATCTTGGCATGAAGGCTGATATGAAGTCGAAAACATCATCATATCGCTTAATAAATCTAAATAGCAGCCCAATGCGACTGATTCGCGCTCGACTCGATTAGTCGTAGAGCCCACGATAATCGCGACACAAACCAAGACTCTAAAAATGAACAGAGTACATGTACAATACGTAAAATAAGAGAGCTTACTTGGATTGAGAGGCGCAAGCAATCGTGCAGTGACAGATGGAAGTGATAATAGATAACGAAGCATGCTTTTTATGCAATAACGTTATTCGGTACAAACATGTAAAGTAGTCGCTCGGGAAGCTATGTAATAGCGAATAACAAAACTGAAACGCTTCAAAATTTGCAACAACAAGGCTCAGCTGGAACGAAGATGAAGCGAACCATGGTTCCCCCATTTATCGCTAGCCGATAAACCTCCAGAGCGAGGTTTTCGAGGTTAAAATGGCTCATTTGAGATCGTGCTGACATGTGTGAAACATCCGAACATGTTCGTTCGACTCCCACTTCACTACCTTTCAGCGAAACGACTGTCTCACCTCGCTGATGTTGCCACCTCCGTCATTTTAATCGACGTTATCGATTTTTTTTAACTTTCTTCGAAGCGTCAGCGAACGTGCTGTTCAATGGTGAATGCGGTATCGCTGCGATAGCCCAAAGTTTGAATCGAATCTTGCAGTCGTTCAATTGCCTAAAGACCTAATCAAGAGCTTTGTAGAGGGCTCGAGTAGCTCGCAAAAAGCCTTTTCAATGATGGCTCTTACGATTACGAAAAGAGCACTGAACAACGTGTTTCCTTATCTTTGTACCAATAACAGAGCAGACCAAAGGAGCCTTGGAAGACGCCAATTGTGTGTTTGAGGGGAGCCTCATTTCACCGGATCTTTCGTGCAAATCGGGTGAGGTCTGTGAGTAATTCGGAAAGAGTTGGTAGCTGCCACACTAACTACCATATTCCAGCGATACCACTTATCGCTGGAATAAGCTCTTTTCCTCTATCCTCCGAACATTTTTGTTTGTTTCCAAATATTTGTGAGTAAAAAAATACTACTGGTGGGCGCTTTACAGTGACACTCATCTTGCTGCTCCACGAGTAAGTTAAAGTGTGTGTGACCATCACTCTGAATGTTATCAAAAATGGCTGCATAAACACGTCGCGTTGGTTCATTGTACCAGTTTCCATTGCAGTGAGTTCGTACAAGAGTAAAGCACTGAAATGCAAAGTAGGTTTTCAGGCGTTGCAAGAAGTCTTAAAGCAAAATGGTAACCTATTTCAGTAATATGTAAGCTACTACTAGTTCTACACAGCTGTAATTATAAGTGATACTGTGTTTTATTTACTGTATTCGAATCTGTGTACTAATAATATTATTAAATGAATTTGTCCCTGTGTAGCGAATACAGCTGCCCTTCTGTCGTTCTAGATCCTACGATTGATCGCCTCGCGCAAGTGTCGTGGAAACTGTAGTATACGTTACAGTCGTTTTCGGGGAATTATTTAGTCATGCATTGCCACAAATTGTGATTCTGATAAACTCTAAAGAAAAAGACCGGTTTTGGGCAGATCTCGTCGAGCTCTTTATCCTAGTATCCTAAATTTTCAAATTGGACCGGTAATTTTCACAAAATGGGCAGTTGAAATTGAGGAGTTGTTATTTTGTGGATACTAGAATTATTGATGTTGATAAAAGAGAGATCTTCATATCTGAGTGAAAACGATAGACTAACTGCATGTTGTCTGTGTCGTCCAAATTGAGTCCTAATATTAGTACAAAATATTGCTAGAAGGTATTGAATAACGCGGTAGAAATAGCTATAAATGTATTTATACTTTGAAGTACAATAGTGTTTGTGTCGACAAGAGAACCGAGCGGATGGAATACATGCAATGAAGTAAGACAACATTTGGTGGCATCAAGTGCGTATAAGCGATCGGCCTTAGCTAGCCCCCTTGGCTTCGGAGCACAATTACTGTGCTCGAAGGATAAAAAATCAGGTACCGGTAGTACGCTGACTGATTTACATGAGAACAAAACGGGCATCTGGTATAATATTTAGCTAAAGACAGTGACCTCTACTTGGAACAAGATTATTCACTTTCTTCTATCTCTCGTTTAAGTAAATTTAATATTCTAGAGCGCAGCTTGTATTAATTTCAGGGCAAGGCACGACTTTGTATTTTGGGCTTCGACCTATACACCACAATTATAGTAGTCAGGGTACGACTAATTAGCCTGAAGGATACACTGTCTTAGATAGCGTGGCTCTTAGCTCCAGCAAGCACCGAACTAACTAGTGCATGTAGTTTGCCCTTCTTCCCGCCAATTTGACGCAGCAAAATACGAAGAATTCTCTAAAAGACATTCCATATTTCTTAACGAGCCTAGAACGCACACCGTCTTGTTCGGAGATCTCTGCTGTTTACAGAGGCGACTTACGCTCTCTTCGCTTTTTTGTTTTGTAACGATAAACTTGTTCCGACGATGATTAAAGTGCCTAAATTGCTCCGGCGTCAGCGAGTTTACGTACCCTGGAATGTTTAACGCCTTTGTGTAGCTAAAACGTCCGTCTTTAGCTGCTTTCATGAGTTGCTTCACTTGGTCAGAAGAAAAGGGCCTTTCTTCGAGATCATTGTCATCTTCAATGGCCGCGTGGTGGGTCCTCAGCAGTCGACCGCTTGGACCATCGGTAGAAGCCCTGTTGATAGTGTTGACGACGGTCGTTGAAAGCGCGTCGCTGGTAGTCAGGAAGGAAGCCGCAATCAGCGTGAAAACCGTCAAGAGACGCATTGGGCCGTTTCTTACAGCTGAACTTCGAGACGGGAGCAAAATCGAAAGTAAGGGCAGATTCCACCAAAACTGTCGTACTCAACGGTAGCCACAAATGCGTTTTCCTTAATGTTTAGTACCGTTCATTCATACTAGCTCGTGCTTTTTCTACGTTATTTCGTCGTTGGATTGTCTCCTGTCTAACGTCATATTTGACAATGTAATCTGGCGCGGCGTATGTGGACTGTTGCGCTGGCATACCTGGGATGGATACCTGGGATACAGTACGTGATACATGTCTATATCTGACGGTAACGTTTGCAAGCAAGCCTGCTGGAGGTATCCGGAAAGACCAAAAACAATTTGTTAACCGATATAAATGGTGTTGCCCCTTATAATGACATCTACCTACTCTCGACTAGAGATGACATTCCGTATCTTATATGGCAAGATATCAGTTATCAGAGTCTCGTTTAAAACAAGATGCTGTAAACACATTCAGTAACCTGGTCCAATCGGTTTGCTGAGTCTAAGCTGAGATGACTCAACAATGCGTTTCAACCTCATTTAGAATGTCAAAAGATTTGAGGGCAATCAACACTTTGTATCCTAAGTGCACGGGTACAGAAGCGGAAGTATCCGGGATGGATACTCCTATTTCCGGGAGTACAAGGAGCAGAAGACGTGCCGTTGCCTCGCGATCTGATCGGAAGCCTCGCAGATAAGTTTAGAGTTGATGTAGATAGTTTCGGTAGCTCACTTTCGATTTTCTCGGCTCGCAAAAAGCGAAAAGAGATCGCCTTCTACCGACTACTCGGCTCACCGATGACCAGCGCTCTTCAACTCGGCGAGCTTGCTTTTGTCGGGCCAACGCACTCAGCACAACTGAACGACTTCCAATACGTTGAAATCACGGACCTGACGGATAGCGTGGCTACAGTTAAGATCGTCGGTCCTGATGATGACAAGAACAACGACACTTTCGACATACCTATCGATATCGTCTGATGCAGACTGGCTCCGGAAACAGAACGTCGTTTTTGGCCGGATTCATACGTCGCCCACACTGTGGCCTTCATCAAGACATCACCAATAGGAGTCGACGGATGGGCATATGGCGTTGTATACAGCGGCCGAAACTACCGATATTCTCCATATTGTGAGTCACGACGGACCAACTCGATTCCAGCTGACGAATACGCAATCGTTGATCAAAGTTGACGCGCTGAACTACGCATTTCAACCAGGCCAGGGTGGCATTAATCCCAGTTGAGCTCCTCCATCGACAAGACGCGCTTTTGGCAGCTTGCCGAAAGCGAAGGTCAGGGATTCCACCCTCAGTCTTGGCCAGCCTATCGGTTCCCTTCTCTCCCGATGAGATTGTCCCGTTGGTTAAACCGGCGACGCTCCAGTTAGTGCATGTCCGTCGCCAGCACATCGTTAGCTACTCGAACGCCAGCCGTGCCAACAAACCTGAAGATCTCTATACCGATACGTCGCACATTGTAGAAGAATCAACTACTAGAAAAAGCACTGATGAGGCCCGAAAAACTCCGACACCTCGCAGCCACCCTAGCACCGCCAACGAGATCGATACACAGCTGAGGAACTACGACAGCGCCGACGTCGATAATGATAGTTGCTCCGAAGATGGCGACGTTCGTGAGGTACAGCATATGAACGCGCCGCTGGCTAAGCGCCGGCGTTTCAACGACAACGACGATGAAAGTTTTTCCGATAGTAGCAACGACTCGTACGCGGACGCTGAGAGGACTACACAACGTCAGCGAGGAATCGTATTTCATCCGTCTCCGAGTGATCGGCGCATACATGCCGCGATAGTCAACCGACGGCACACAGGTAAGAATCCTCAAACATTACTTCAATCTGTTCAGCAGTCACTACACGTGGAGTTCGTGGCCAGCCCCGCAGTGCTACGAGGTTTGTATTCTTTTGGTTTTGGGCTTGGGCTGTCGATAATGCACTGGGATGCAGTCGCAGCAAGTGAGAAAGGCATGAATCTGTGGGATTTCTCATCCAAGAACGGGTATCCGACACCACCCAAGGTTTCTGGATTTGGCGCCTTAATCAGTTCGCTAACAGCTCTGCACAAGTTCGGACAGCACTTTTACAACAGCAAGACAGTGGACTTCATTTCAACGGCGAAGGACTTCGTCATTTGCTACGCCGACCACGCCCGACCAGACCTGACAATGGCGCGCCTTCTGGCTTACTGGATCAACGAAAAATTCAGCTTATTTCGCAACAAAGTTCTCTCGGACGGGCTGAGGGAGGCAACCAAGGTTTCAACTCAGTTCTGCCGAAGTGATGATAAGCTCGGTGCTCTCCGAGACTCAAGTCAGCCGTGGAAACCATCGTCAGCAAGTCGCCCTCGCCCAGCCAACGCCGAAACCAACGTTCGAACTCATCGTACGACTAGTAATACCGGTAGTCGGATTCCCTTCGATGTGTACGCGCAGATGCCACTTGGTGAGGACGTACGGAAACTATGTCTGAAATTCCTGTCAAAACCGGGATGCCAGTTTACCAAATGCTCAAATGCTCACTTCCGACCGGAATCACTTGCGGAAGGTGTAAATAATCTGATTTCGGAGCGGTGGGGAGGGCTCAGCGCTCAGTTCAGCGATTTATGACGTAACAAGACCAACGTTTGCTCTGACAACAGCCAAAGCGGTGAGAAAGAGGAACGTGAGCGGTATAAAATCTTCTTGGCCACCCTGAATCAAGCACGCGTTCTCAACCAGGCCTCCGCTTACGAAAACTATCAGAAGCACGCTGTCGGATTATCTCCATCTCCACTCAGACCGAACCTGATAGACGACGTTAATGCGGACCAGGTCCAGTTCTGGTCAACATTCACCAACAAAGTAAATGGAGCTTATCTGACGTAGTACGGCTGCTTCGCGGTCAACCAGCATCCGATCCCAGACCCAACAAAGACCTCTTCGAATTAGCTCCGCCGCTGGACACTGTGCTCGTGCCAATCGTCGCAAAATGGAACAGAATCGTTCGTCACGGAGTGCAGCCAAAATGGTGGCACCTGGTTTTATCAAAATTAAGCCCACCAAGGGGCTTTGATTACTAGCCCCTTCATTTTCTGCCGATACAATATTAATAGCTGCACAGCCCTCAATTTTCAACATATAAACATCGGGCTTCTTGTTTTTCAAACAGCGCGTCAGTACGCCTCGGAGCTCATCATTACCTGGTTGCATTAGTCCAATTAACATATTCGCGGCAAAAGGGTAAAAACACCCTTTTACAGTAGGAACCAGTCTCTAAAAGGCGGTTTTTCTATTACGGAAGTTCCACCGGTCCTGAACCGCCTTCTGAGGCATTGCAAATATACTGTAGGATTCGTAATCATCAAAATATACCCTTTTCAAGTCAGCTTCAGTCATGAGATTGCAGCATCATGCTATCCTTTTTAATTTGTTAAAAGAAGTAATCCAAAACGAGTACCGTGATTTTGTTAAGGTCGAAAAAGCGTCCTTTTAGAAGCAAATAAATCAATTTTGTATTCTATAGTTTATAAAGGTAGAGTGAAGAGGTCATTATAAGCAAGGACCATATATTTAAACGGGAGGTTACATCAGGGGTCCCGACAATCCAATACATAGATTCATACTTTCTCGTCAAGAGAAGAAATTAAAAATTCAATTATTAGCATTATTCCTCCCTATTCTGGATCGTACTTCATCAACAATGTTCACGTTCCACAGGTCGCTCTTGTACACCAGACATATCTGCATTGTTAGCTTCTGTGGTTATTCGCTTCCATTGGTCTGACAGCACGAGCTTGATCGAAAAAAAGAAGTGCTGGTATTCGGTGGAATGTAGCCAACACTCACGAAGAGGGAGTGCTTGACAACCTTGCGTCTCTTGAACGCAGCCTTCACAATCGAAGAGTCGCTTGCGCCTCTTGCGGGTTTTTCCTAGCTTGGCGCCCTAAATTATGCACAGTTCGTCCTCTCAACCCAATTTAGAGCCTCACCTTGACCACAGTAAAGACCGCAATCCAGTTGGTTAGAGTATACGCCGAAGTCAGCTGCAGCAAGATTGGGACGAAATTTTCGAGCGACTGGTGTTTGCTATCAGCAACTCGCACGATACGACGCGGAAAGAGACACATTTCTATCTTGTGCATGGATGGGATGGTCACATGGCACTCAAAGTCATGACGGAGTCGATTCGTCGGGGGCAGCAGACAATCCGATGAATTAGCGTGACGTCGAGAAGTAAACAGACAACGCAAAATTGCGCTGGAGACGGCGAAGGAGTATTAATCTACGGAGAAGACGCGAAGAGCTGAGAAGCTTAACAAGGCTCTGAGTAACAAGGCTCTTGAGTCGCAAAGAACGAGCGGCTGCTGACTTGGGTTGTACAGCGCGAATCCACATAGCATTGCGACGATGATTCGCAAACCTTTCAGGAAAATAGCAGCGAAGCACCGAAGTCACTCTTCGAACCTGGCAGTCACATTTGCTGATGAGGGCTGACCTGTAAATTATCGCCAAAACCGACCTGTACTTGACGCAATGCAGCCCAAGACTGCACTTTGGAGCTTACGGCAATGTAAACATTAGTTGAGATGCTACTTCGAACTCATTCACAACGGTAGCGAGCCACCTCCGGTACTCGGGAGACCCAGGAAACCTGGACGCCACCGATTTAGATACAGCGTCTTCCCTCCCAGCACCGTCACATTTGATTTACAGACGAAGGCAATTACTGCATCCTGGACTTACATATTATATGAAACAAGAATATTAACGCGTTGGAACGAAACGGTAAGAATGACATGTGAGACCAACCTTCGTATATTTGACATAGCTACAGCTGGAACATTAGGAGATCGACAAACACACCGACATAAACGCGAAGAACGAGCTACGTCGCTGAAGCGCCAGCCAAATGGCCTGGCTCAGCATTAGTAGCCAATCTGGCAAAGAACTGGGTAAAATTCGCATCCTTGACGACCGGCGGGTTCTCGGCAGCAGCACTAAAAGCAGCTCCTTCAAAGAAGCAGGATCCGTGGCTACTCGAGGCACTGCGAAGTCCGCATCCCAGTTTGGCGAAATTGCAGTGTTGGGCAGAAGCAGGTTAAAAAAACTTCAATCTGGTGGTCCACGGACTCACGGGTTTCACCAGCAACAGCAGAAATCCAACATTACATGGTGTGGGCGTCGTGTTGTACGGGTGCAGGGCAGATGTGTCAACCCATCCAATACGCCATGGTTCGGCGGTGTCCAACGCCGGAATGTGTTCAACACGGAGATATCCAAGTCAGATATTCGAAAAAAAGAATAGCCAGGTATCGACAGCTCAAACAAAATTTCAGGAATGATATCACCGAACCGGGGCTCAGCGCTGACACACCATTTCCACTCGTTGTTGATGGTTTTGACGCGAAGTCGATCAGCACGCTTGGTCCGGCCAATGCCATATTCATCCTAGGCCGCCTTGGTGTCGTCTAAAGCGAGCTTGAAAGAGGCTTTTAGCATTGTTCGAGAGTGTGGTGTCTTCGACGAGAGCTCGGTTACCAGCCTTTAAGCCGAGCTCAATCGCGCGAGCTGCAGACCAGTGATTTTGTTTCCAGAGTGAGAATCCAAGATCAGTATCATCTTCGGGGCCATCCAAACGAAACTTACGTCAATATCCTTTGAGACGACGTAGTGAAGGAGCTCGTTGCGAAACGTGAGAGTCGACATCGAATTCTTCGGTTCCAACGCGACAAGCGTGTGAAGAAATCAAACGACAAGTTATCTGCCACGGATGATCCGGTTTCCGGAAGTTCGCGAAAGCTCGGATGAACTTGACACAGCTAGTGTTTTTCGGCGGCAGTGGAGATGAAAGTCGATTGTTCAGGATTTGGATCCAGAACTTGGTCGCACCACGAAGAGTAAAAGGAGCATGTAGGGCGAAGCTCACCTAGCTACCTGCTCCGGGAAGCGTGCAAGGTGCTGCGAAATGCGTACAACCCGCAGGAGGCGATACGATTGGTCGCAGCGATTGTCGATCCGAGTTAGAGGTCTGACAGCGTGGCACGACCCGTACTTCGCCAGGAGAACGACGTGACGCTGGAGCCGTCGGACGTCCATTCACTGGAGAAGAAGTAGACATTGCGTCAGGTGGCGTGACTCTTTCTCCTACCGGTACTATATCTGTATTGACATCTTCGTGATTGGTACCTGAGACCGTTACTGGTGTCGGAAATTCATCTAGAGGCAGCTCTTCGGTGCTTGCTACCTGAACTTTTCCATCTGCAGGAGAAGGAGCTGCCGACGACAGAGCAATTACCTCTTCACGAGAAGCTGAGTCGCTGTTATCATCGGAATCAAAAACGACGGTCGCCGTTGAGTCAGCATCGGAATCGGATTTTTTAACGAGACGCTGCCATTTGGGTAGTCAGCAGCGATAGTCGCAGAGTCTGGACAGTACGTTGCACCTTAGCATCGGTAGCTGATAGCTCTGACGCAGCATCCGACGACTGCCGAGATTCAAATTCAACCGAAATGATAAGCCAGGCCACAGTCTGAGCATCAGATTCATCACTTGACGAGAAATCAGAATCCACGATACCATTGAAATCCATAACTTCGCCATCGTTAGCTTGTTCAGCCTCAATCTGCAGCGAAGAACGAAACGACGATCGATCTGCCTGCTGACTAATCGGATGGATCTTGTGGGGCGATGGCTCGGCGTCATGGGTTACAGCATTCGGTTGGCGTACTGGTAACGTGTGTTCCGAAAACTGGGAGTTGCATGAAACTGTCGATCCGGCGGCTCCGGCCAATTTTTTTGCTGCTGATCTGGTTCGTGTGGTGAACTGCATACGAAGTTTTTTAAACTTACTCTAATAGAGGCACCTGGTTGCAGTACTTAAGAAATCTGATATCCTGTAGTACATGATATAAATAAAAGCCAGGTCGCTCCCAGAGACTACGACCGGTATGAAGTAGTTTAATATTACTCTAATGACAAACCTGATTTGGAATTTTGAGGACAGGAAGTGTATATGTGTAGCCTACGACTACGAAGTGGCCGTGGAAAAACGTGTAATTAGTCTTGTGTCAGTAACCAGTAACCTGCAGTCTTGAAACTGTTTGTATCATTCTTCGACAACTAAAATACGTATATCCCAAACATTGTAGCTTTTTCGGACTAAATTTTAGTCTGGCACAATGGTCCTCCCTCGAAAACAAAACGCTATCGTGTTATTACTTATTTTGCCGCACGCTCGACTCGATTAGTCGTAGAACCCACGATAATCGCGACACAAACCAAGACTCTAAAAATGAACAGAGTACTTGTGCAACACGTAAAACTAAGAGAGCTTAGTTGGATTTAGAGGCGCCAAAGGAGCCTTGGAAGACGCCAACTGTGTGTTTGAGGGGAGCCTCATTTCACCGGATCTTTCGTGCAAATCGGGTGAGGTCTGTGAGTAATTCGGAAAGAGTTGGTAGCTGCCACACTAACTACCACTTTTATCGCTGGAGTAAGCTCTTTTCCTCTATCCTCCGAACATTTTTGTTTGTTTCCGAATATTTGTGAGTAAAAAAATACTACCGCTGGCGCGAATGAGGAGCTTTACATAATTTATCGCAAGTCTAGTAAATTATTCCTTGGATCATTGCACTCACTTGTCAAGCGTCGCCAAAGAAATCTGAAGAGCCACTTGGGTAGAAACTGCAGCGATGGAGTTGGTGACGAAGGTTCGGGACGCTGAGCACTGGGTGCAAGTGCTGGAGAGCAGCGAAAAGAAGTTAGTCGGTGCGTTTCCCACTTCCTGGAGCAATCGAAATGGCTGCAGGCGGTTGATAACCATGCTGCGGCAGTTGTTGACGTGCACAAGGATTGGTGTGGGCCATGCAAGATCGTGGAGCCGTCCTATAAGCGCTTGACTACGGACATCGAGCACGCAGAGCGTCGAGTCATGTTCGCGACCGTAAGCACAATTTTCGATACTACGATGTGGAAACTCAATCTTCGTTTATTTTAGCTGAATGTTGGACTTCACGTCGATGGTATCGAGGACACTGGCAGTTGCAAGCCTCGGTTCCTCCTTTTTAAGGTTGAAGAAAGAAACGTTTGATGTTACCTAGGCCTTGAAGCAACCATAATAACAACGAGATCCCGTGGGTTTTTAGGACCGCAAGCAGATCGCAGATGTGGATGGAGCGAATGCACCGCTACTCGAGCAATCAGTTAAACAACATTTGCCACCGATCGGGAACGACGATGAAGAAAACTAACATGACTCGATATTAAAAACGAAATACAAGATCACGTATGCGATCAGATGAAATCGTAACCTGCATGCTTGGAAGCACGCACTGGCAACGCGTTGTGAGTTGAGATCATGAAATACCTGTTAGCCTTTCGAGTAGCTCGAAGGGCTTATTCAAGAAACGAGTGCCTGCAACACTTGTTGCCCTCTACGTATCTCAGATCGAGAAATTGGCGGGAACACGAAACCAGCGTCTTTCAACTCGGCATCGCTTGCGTGTGGCTCTGTACGAGAAGTTCTGTGTCTTGCGATATGAGCGATTGGTAATCATCAACAAGACAGGACACGTCAAGGACTCAGTGCATGGTTGCCTAACAAAAACGAAATAGCGTCATCGACTTTATCTAGTAAACATACATCTAGTTTTGCAACGATAGAGATTAACAGTAGTAAATCTAGGCTTACCGGCCATATGTGCAGGACGACCTTCTTGGGTGCCTTTAACTTCATGAAACACAAAGTGTTATAGAGAAGTTAAATTGAGATGGCGTTTGACGCACCACTTGTCATGCCAACCAGTTGAATTATTTTGGCCGTCTGTCGTGGATAAAAGGTGGGTGTGTTGGCTAAAAGACGTGGGATCTGGCTACGGTTCACCACCAACGAAGACCAGTTGTTCATACATTTGTACTTGAACTACCACGGTCGTCAAACACATCATCCTTCTCCTCCAGCACTGTCGCATGATGAATACCCCTACTAAGCACAAAAAGTAATCAGCCCGGGAGCTTGGACGAGCACATTAGCAAAGCGTTAATGAAATTCCTGCGCGATGATTCATAACACAGGACGATTTACAGTCCGTAGTATTTCTTGGATGGTCGTATTGTTGTTCATCTTTCCACTTCTTGCAAATTTTGCGAAGCTGAACTCCGCGTATGACACTTCTTGGCAGATCCACCGGAGTCTTTCTTCATGGAAGCCATTTCTTTCGTCATCTCAGTAAGCTTACTGGGAGTAAAGCTCCAGATAGTGCGCTTCGCTTTCGTTTTGGAGGAGCATTCCCAAGGTAAAGTCGACTCAGAGTTCTTAGCCGACACCTGAAGGTCGCAAAAAAGGTTCCCACGCGCAATTTTTGACTTCATTTCGTAGTTCTCCTCGTCCCGCTTCACAACAACGTACGGCTTCTTCCCAGGGCTCGAGAAGTACTCAACTGGTGGTAGTATCTCTGCGCTGTAGCCAAGGCTATCGAGACCGCTGATTTATGATCAGCCGTGTACCTGGCTAAGCTGCCATCGGCAGCACTCAGCAGGTTGGTAAGTTTCGTTCCAAAGTGTCTTGAATGTCTTGTTATTCCTTGTGACAGATGCAGGAAGCAAGGACGTCGTCTTTCTCATTGATTCGGGCCACTTAACTGACGGAGAAAGAGGCGGAAACACAGCCCGCCAAGAGAGGGCGATGCAGCTGGAGCTCAAGGGTCTATCCACTCTCCCGGTTCATTGGCATAGCGAAAGGCATCGCGATGGCTCTGCTTGCTGCTCCACGAGTAAGTTAAAGTGAGACCATCACTCTGAATGTTAATCAAAAATGGCTGCATAAACACGTCGCGTTGGTTCATTGTACCAGTTTCCATTGCAGTGCAAGAGTAAAGGCGACAAGAAATAGCATTTGAATCACATTGTAACCACCAAATTCGTTTGGAGTCCAAATTATAAAATATCATTCGTTTTTGTACGACAGTTAGTTTATGTTAATGGAAGGAAATAGTGCTTCTGTCGATAACAGAATTCATCGTTATCCGATCGACGCTGCTGTTGTACCAGAACTGCTTATTGCTATGCGCACTTTCCCCATTCTTCCCTCGGTCTACTTGTGCTGGCTTGCCAATCCGTCGTACTGGCGTTCCTTCACCTTGGGGCATCACTGGACAAGAAGATCACAAATTTCAGTGTTTCAATTTACCGAAGCCAAATATCAGCGGTGATCGATAAGTTAGAAGCATAAAACAATCTTGAGTATTATGAATTGGTAGTGGATATCTGGGTGAAACTTTTTAAAATTGTATAGAAGGCGTCGTATCAACTTGATCAAGCAACGAATGCAATTCTATTTCTAATGAATAGGATGAGCCTTCATTGCCTTAAAGAGATTTACCAGAGAACTGATACTGGCTTCGCGGAATAGACTTAAATCACGCTGACGCTGTAGCTTGTAACGCTCAGCTTGGCGTTGGTGCCCTTGAAAGCCTGCGTGCCAGCCCGCAGCACCTGCAAGTACTGATTTCCAGGGATCGTATTGTCGGACGGAAGTTCAGTGAAGAACAGCTTGAGGTCGCCCTTGAAGCTCGTAACCGGCTGCTTAGCGACATACGAGAACGCATTGATGTTCTGGTTGAACCCGAAGTACAAGTCAAAGTCGACGCCGGCAACGTTCACGGTCTTGATAGGCTGACCAGTGGTTGACTTAGGCTTTATATCGCCATAAGTTGCCAGCCACACCGTGAGCTCGTAGTGAGGGTGTCCAGCAGGCGTCCAACTCGTAAACATGTCGTAGGCCACGTTCGAGACCATGTCACCATCGGACGTGTAGTTGAAGTCGAAGCTGGTAGGGATCGTCACGATCGAGGAGATCTGGTAAGGCTGAAGGTCGCGGTCAGCGTAAGCAAAAGACTTGTACATGGGGTCGCTGTCACCGGTAATGTTGTAGCTCGTGTGCCAGGCGATAGTCGTGGTTTCACTCCAATCCACACCCGTGCATTGCTTGCCGGCAACGGCCCAGTTGCTGTTTACGATCTTGTACGCTCCCACTTCAACTTCGCCGTTCTCTTTGTCGGTACTACCACAGAAATCCTCCGCGTGGGCAGTCGCTGCAGCAAGAGCGATGGTGGCTGGTAGCAGGAACTTCATCGCTGTAATGATCGAACTTGGGGTTAAGAGGGTGGATTGCCGAATGAATCTGGACATGGCAAAGAACCAATCTCACCCAGTGCCAAGTCCCATCCTAAAAGGCTTCATCCGGACGTTTTGCTGCTGATGTCGCAGTTTGGAATCGCCAAATCTGGGTTGTCGAATTACAGTATCGCTTTTACTTCGCGATCAGTCGCAGTGACAATTCAAGCAAAGAACTGCATCTGCAAGTAATCTACCTCGACTCGGACGTACATGTATCAGATATTATACTTATCGCTACCTCGAAGTATTTGTGTTTGGCTCGCAGTAGAGCTCGAAAGATTGATCTGCATGCCTAATCCATGTTGTTATCACGTGATGGCGTGCAAAAGAATCTCTTGAAAGGATTATTCTGCTTCGGGTGTACCTACTATTAATATCTACGACAACACGACCAATGATTCGAAAGCCGATTAACTTGATCGGCTTTCGAGGTGTTTTCCCGTGGACGTAAGGGTGTGGATCCATACGATGCCCAATGTGCTACAGTAGGAGTTGGGTGTACTACAGCCACGAACGCGGTTTGAGAAAGCTCTGTACTGTAGCTAACACAGTGCATATTAACCTTTGTGTTACAAAGTACAACAATAATAACAGTCAACACCTGTAAAGCTGTTCCAGTTCATTGCCGACCAAATTCCAAGCAATTCTTGATACACAAATCTTACGACCAGTAGGCAGAACACGTAGGCAAAACGGGATCTGCTGTAGTCAGTATGTATGGGTTTATGATACGGACGCTACGATGTCGACCAGTAAAAATGATCGATTATTCTGCTCGACCTCGGTTTTCTGTGCGGAAACCCAGTCCATATGAATTTATCTCACAAACACATAATAACATTATTACAATTTTTGTTTTCTGAAATCAATTTAACAGGTCAAGCGTAGGTGTGGTGCAATTTTGGCCGCACGAAGAATATCGCAACAGCGAATCCTCTTAGGTCAGAATGTCGCATACCTAGGCATTGCATTAGTGAGGCAGAAAGCAAGAAAATCAGGAAAACCAAGCCAGCGCTAGGTGTACCAACAAATGAGTCCTTTTTAAAAAATTACAGTAGAATCTGTCCTACCTGATATGACCCGTGGAGAACTCCTCTATTAGGTATAGCAGCATATCATGTTACTCAGGTCGTCTTCAGTAAACAGGCCATTGCTAGAGTAAGAAGGTATTCTATGCTTCTTTAAGCCGACATGCGGCAAAATAAGTAATAACACGATAGCGTTTTGTTTTCGAGGGAGGACCATTGTGCCAGACTAAAATTTAGTCCGAAAAAGCTACAATGTTTGGGATATACGTATTTTAGTTGTCGAAGAATGATACAAACAGTTTCAAGACTGCAGGTTACTGGTTACTGACACAAGACTAATTACACGTTTTTCCACGGCACTTCGTAGTCGTAGGCTACACATATACACTTCCTGTCCTCAAAATTTCAAATCAGGTTTGTCATTAGAGTAATATTAAACTACTTCATACCGGTCGTAGTCTCTGGGAGCGACCTGGCTTTTATTTATATCATGTACTACAGGATATCAGATTTCTTAAGTACTGCAACCAGGTGCCTCTATTAGAGTAAGTTTAAAAAACTTCGTATGCAGTTCACCACACGAACCAGATCAGCAGCAAAAAAATTGGCCGGAGCCGCCGGATCGACAGTTTCATGCAACTCCCAGTTTTCGGAACACACGTTACCAGTACGCCAACCGAATGCTGTAACCCATGACGCCGAGCCATCGCCCCACAAGATCCGTCCGATTAGTCAGCAGGCAGATCGATCGTCGTTTCGTTCTTCGCTGCAGATTGAGGCTGAACAAGCTAACGATGGCGAAGTTATGGATTTCAATGGTATCGTGGATTCTGATTTCTCGTCAAGTGATGAATCTGATGCTCAGACTGTGGCTTGGCTTATCATTTCGGTTGAATTTGAATCTCGGCAGTCGTCGGATGCTGCGTCAGAGCTGTCAGCTACCGATGCTAAGGTGCAACGTACTGTCCAGACTCTGCGACTATCGCTGCTGACTACCCAAATGGCAGCGTCTCGTAAAAAAAAAACCGATTCCGATGCTGACTCAACGGCGGCGGTCGTTTTTGATTCCGATGATGACAGTGACTCACCTTCTCGTGAA